CCCCCCAAAAAAAAACCCTAAACCCCACCCCCCTTACACCCCCCAAAGAATGACCAACAAACCAAAAAACAAAAAAACCCCAACCTTTATTCTTAAGAACAGGGGTGCCTGTATTTAAGCACTGAACTAGTTCTGGCTGTGGAACAAAACTTCTTGCATGTTGCAGGCTAATATTTAATCTAACAGGGGGCATTTGTTGCAAGAAGGCTGACAAAGTATGATTCCATTTGGTTTGGGTCCATAACCAGTTCCCCAAGCTGCAAGCCATAGCAGGAAGTTCTTCTGTAGTGGGAGCATCTACAAAAGACTGTAAAATAATGTAGCTGCAGAAGTCTTCCACTTTGGTTATACTTACCTCTCTGTAGACTGAGCAGTGAGGACTGCAGCTCTCCTGCTGAAAAAAAAAACCATGTCCAGTACTCCCTGGGGGAGGAAGTGGCTTAACCACATCACTCCATTTGGGACACAGCACTCTAAGCCCTTGGTGGAAACTCTGGATCACTTCTAGAATGCTGACTTAAGAAATCTAGTATTTGGCTATAACAGACCTCATCATGGCTATGCTGGCTCAGCTCCAAATGAGTGTTCAGTAAGCACACATGGCTTTTCTGAAAGATACCTTGCCTCAGACTAGGATAACTGCTAACAGTGCTTTAGAGCCCTTTTCTCTTCTAAAGCAGTACAGTTAATGCATAACCGTAGCAGGGTCTCTGCAGTATTCTTTCCAGAAGGTGTTTGGAACAGGAGCTAGCTGAAACAGCCATGCAGAGTAAACCTTGCGAAACCTGGCAATCCACTAACAGCCTATACTCTCTCTTTCCGTAGAAGGAATCTCAGAAACCATCTTCTGGTCCTTTTGGTGATCCTTTTGGCAACCCATTTGCATAGATCAGGTAAGTCTTCCACTAATAAGACAACCTATTTCATTCTCTGAAATAGATTCAGAAAACCTTTGGTAAAGAGCTGGCTAAAAACTACACCAGCTTAACTCTAATGGTCGTCTGAAGTACGGCAAACAGTCCCTAGAACACTTCTCCTAGAGTACCTCTACTCAGGCTTGTTCATAGCTGCATTCTGGCTAAGCCTAGCCAGCTTTGCTTTCTTAGAAATAAAGTTGTTATTCTTCCATGGACTTAAGTCTCAAGGCTGCAATAGATCTAGATTTATTTTCCTTGAGGAAAGCTTGTGAGTAAATACATGCTGCAAAACTTGGAGGGGCTGACTAAATTCCTTCAGATAGCTCTTTAGGAGAGTGTTAGCACACAGTGCCCCATATAGCTTTCTGGTTTAATCCCCTGAATAATTGCAGGTTTGTACTCTGGGTGAATTGGAGTAAAAGCAGAATAAGGGCTGTTATGAGAGCTTTTGTCACTAGAAACCAATGTAACTCAAACTTTTGTACCATTGGCTAGAGAACATGAACTGTCAAACTAGCAAATCTATTCCTCTGCCACAACTCTAAGTCTTCCCCTGAAATACTGTCTGGCTTCTAACAGAAAACAAGTGTTGCTATGTATTGCTTTAGTTCTATTCTCAGTGGCTTTAAGCTAGTTTAAGCAATAAAACTGTAATATATAGCCATCCTAACCCTAAGTCCTTTTCATCATACTAGGCATAACCAGAAAAGGACAAATGGAATAACTGGACCTCTTCTCAACATGATTTTTCTACTTGTTTCACTTTGCTGTCTGCCATTCTTGCTGCTGTTCCATGATGTCTGTAATCTAAAACATGTCCAGGTGGATTGAAACAGGAACCCTCAAAGAACACGCTGTGAAGATGATAATTCAGGGCAAAGCAAATGGAGAGTTGGACTCATGCTGGAGACCCATATTCAAATTGGTGGATGTTAACTTTACTTTAGTTCTTTGCAATCTTCTGCAGAAGAGCTTAGCAGCACTAAGTCATATGTCTTGTAAACACAGTCACCACAATTCCTCTTTCTGTAGCACTTACTGTCCTAAAATAAAGGAACTGAATGTACCTGAGGAAGAAGTGTTGCCTTCACATAAGGGAATTGAATTAGTAGCTGAAACTCCACACCTTAAACAACTAGGTCAGTTGCCTGTTAGCACAACAGCAGCCAGTTGTAAAGTGAAGTGGACACTACTCAGTTCTAATTGGTGATTAGACAAAAACTTGGTCTCTAAGCCACAAAAATGTAAACCGTATGGTAGCAGCGAAGAAATTCCAGTACTTGTCGATTTAACTAATGGGAAAAGTATCATTCTGCCATGAATGTGTAATAAAGGGACTAACTGTGGGGTCTGTAACAGAACTGCTGGGGTCCTGAATACTAGAGGTCTACACTGTAGGGTCAGATAAGCTGAAACACTTCTTGTAGAACACTGAGGTGGTCATGGACACTAACTGTTGTCTTGGTGCTAATATGACTTTTTTCAGGGAGGGAAATCTTCTAGGATTACTTTTTTAAGGTGGCTTGGCAGACAAATGGAACAAGCAGATAGGCTTCTTGCATATATCTCAGTGAATGTCCCTGATGTTGCTCAGTTTGAGTTGTCACATGGTGTAGTGTGGCATGTTTCCAGTATGTTAGAAAGCAAAAAGACAATCATGGCTTCAGTCCATGCCTAGATTCCTTGTGAACAGATGTACTACCTCTGTGCCATTAATGTGAGGTAGTTTTCCATCTCTTGAAAACCGTGCCTTTTCTAAAGAACATCTTTTCTAACAGATCTCTAAATCAGTTGGTTACAACCAACTGTAACAACTACATTCTTGGCCAGTGGTGATGGCTGATGTGTCAGAGGTTTTTCTGTCAATGCTAAGTATAAACTTGAAATAGTATTGTTAAATCAAATGCCTAAGCAGTTGCTGAACTGGAGAGCTAAGAAAGTCAACTTGAATACAGCCTTAGTACCTAATTCAGCCAGTCATGCAATTAGTCTTGTATATAAACCTCTCTTGCACTTTCTGTAATGCAAAAAAAAAAAAAAAGCTATGAATTTAAGTATTTGTCTCAAACTGGAAATGTAGAAACTTATGGATGTTACACTGTTACATAAAGCTGTAGTATCCCAAGTAATGTTACCAAATGACATTAAAAAGAAGCAACTCTTCATACCAAATGAACATCAGTGTGGCTGTTGATTCTGTCCTCCATAACTCAATCTTCTGTTCTAGCTGACACTACGAGTTCAGAGCCTGCTAAGGATTGTTTCTCGCACGTTCTTACTATAGCTGTCTGATAGCAAGGTCTTAAGTCTTTCTGTAGCTTCCTGCATCAGGCCTGTTCAACAAATAAAATGTCCAGTTGACTTAGTAAACTCACTAGAAGCTCATCCCATTAGGTGTTCAGCCTGAGTTTGCTACTACTGAAGTTGCTTTCTTGCTCCCTTCTGCAGGACCATGGAAGCTGGGTACTTGAATTAATGAATCTTCTGAATGCAGTGCAATTTAGCTTGTCTATTCCAGCTTTGCAGAAAGTCTAAACTGATGCTGGAAAAACTAAATTAGAACATTTGGCTCCTGTTCAGAACAAATTTTACAACTCCTTTAATGCAGATGGCTAGAAAGAATAAATCCATTAGAAAGTTAATGGTTTAGACTAGTCTTTAGTACTGGAGACAGACCTGTAACTGTCAGCCTGATGTATCATTGAATAAATAGAGTGGGTGCTTGCTTGTTTACTTCTAATACCATTTGATTGGTATGGTCAAGGGATTGAAAACAACTTGTTGAAAGGGAGTTGGTATCCAGCTTGAAATGTAGGTCTTGTGGTGCTTCCCAGAGAATCACTGGGTGAGTGGGGGTTAACTTTTGGCTGCATGGCAACATGTAAATTTAGTACTCAGATACCATTAGAACTAAAAAAACAATTGACTGTTGGTGCTTGAGTGAAGAAATATGTTTACCTGCATTTGACTCGAGCATCTAAATTACCATTTGCTGGTCAAGCTGAAATTAACAGCCTTACTATGCTGGAGTTTTGAAATAGCTGTCAGGATGATCACTAAGAGCTGATCAGCAGGATCTCTTACAAGCTGGCCAGAGATGCTTGCTGATCTGCTAGCTTAATTTAAATAGCTGTTTACTCTCTTTTGGTCTTAAAGAACCATGAACTGTAGTGGTGTGTATAACATCAATTGAAGCAGGTATGATGAAACAATATAACATTACAAGTGTGTGTCTTGCACTCTTGCTCAACAAATGAGTTTAGTGCAACTGGACTCATCAAGCTGGACTGAGGATGCATAAGATTTAAGTTCCTCTGAATGAAATTATCCCAAATTAAGGATTGAATAGAGGGGAAAAAAAAACTTGCCTGCTCTACTCCACACCCACCAGCCCCCCTGCCACAAAAAGGGAGGAACAAAAAAAATTTTTTTACTTACCTGTGGTAATTTGGAATATCGTTATACTAGATGATTATGTTAAGCTTTCATCCAGATACTTAATTCTTCACTGCTAAACAGCAGGTTATTTATGAGTTACTTCTGTCTTGTGACTGTGTCCAACACATGATGTCTTTAATCTGGATTATGGAAAACTACTGAATAGGAATGCCCTTTCAAAGAGCTAGCTTGTGGTTTGGCTTTTGGTGACAGAGTGAAATCTAAAGAGTTTTAGGCTCCTTCAAAACAACAAAAATTATATGTCATTTTTTATATTTGGCTAGGGCAGGAAGAAAAAGGAATCTTGAGACTTTATTCCTCTAATACTCCAAATGAGGACTCCAAAGATGTTAGATGCTGAACTTGCTCTTTTAACAGCTCTGCTTTAGAAACTACTTGCTCCTTACATGAGTCACTGCTATGACAGCTTTTTACTAGGCAGTTAACTGTTCTCTAATTAAATAGAAAATGTCTTTCCCATCTTTAAAAGGTACTAGTAAACAAAAATGCTTTGGTTTTAACCTTGGAGCCACTTTACACTATTTCCCAATCTCCACGCAGGGAAAAAGTGGAATCTTCTGGAAAATGGACTTTGAGCACTTACTTGGTGTAAGTCAGTTTTGGCTAGTAACTGGCATTCTTCAGCAAGCACTGCTTTTTGTTTGTTCTTTTGGTAATAAATAACAAACAGGACAAATAAAGAAGTTATAAATTCAGTCATGGCAATTCCTGTCTATTCAGCTACAAAATGAGAAGCATGCATGTTATGCTGCAGCTTATATCCATACTATGCAATTTAGAGGTGGCTGCCTCACTTTTGGGAGAAAGCAGAAGGTAAGTGTCCTTGGTCTTCTGCAGATGTCTAGCTGTCCTGTTTCTCCAACACAGAGCATAAACCTCCAATGCAGACATTTCTAATGGTAGCTTGCACAGATTTTCAATGAAAAAGGAAACTGCTTCTTGCTGTATTGCCTGGAGTCAAATAGAAATGGTTTATCCATTTATTTTGGATGTACGTGGCATAATAAAGGTGACTGATAGCTGTTGAAGCCATGTTCTTGCAGGGAGGTGGAGCTCAGGCAACTGTTTTTTATTGCAGGCTGAGTGTGAAAATATAATTAATTTCAATCTGTTTCTTTCTGAAGATACACAATTCTATGCTGCCAGTACTTCTATTCCTATTTAAAATCTTCTAGACTGCCTATTTCTAATTGTTTAGAAATATAGCCTTTGTTTTTCACCATAAGTATCACTAGAAGGAGAACTAAAGGCTTAGTCTTTACAAAAATATCATGTGGAAACAACTGAAGAGCTACACTACCAGAAATAGAGCTGCCTAGTCTATATGTAATTTTTGAGAATAGTCAGTAGTAAGTGGTGAAAGAATGTGAGTCTCTTAATGGATACATATGTGCATTAAGAATAAATTGGGATCCATCTGCTTTAAGACTTAAATTGCAGTAGGTGAAGCATTTTATTATGACATGTGAATACTATCTGAACAACCAAGTATTGCCTCTTACACATGTGCCC